CTAGCTACTCAGGAGGCTGAGATCTGAGGATCGTGGTTCAAAGCCAGCCCGGGCAGGAGAGACCGTGAGACTCCTATCTCCAATAAACCACCAGAAAACTGGAAGTGTCGCTGTAGCTCAAGTAGTAGAGTGCTAGCCTTGAGCTGAAGAGCTGAGGGACAGCGCCCAGGCCCAGAGTTCAAGCCCCACGACTGACAAAAAAAAAAAAACAAAACTACTCCATCATAGTTTGTGGAGGAACTAAAAGAATTTGTAAAGAGCCTTAGGAAACTAGCAGATGCTAACAAATGTTTTCTCCTCTAGGTAGAGTATAAGGTTCACTTAGAATGTTAAATGTGCATTTGTAACAGCTGAATGACAGTACTATGTGATAGAGTAAAAACAGTACATGGGCAACAATATACCCCTATTAGATCAAATTGATATGGGTATTGCAGAACCTCTCTGATAGCCACATATGTGAGCTTGAGCTTGTGCTGGGTACTGAATTAAGGGGTGAATTTCAAAAGGCAGGAATAAGTGGAGGAAGAAGTGAAGAATAGAGGAAGGGGAGGACAAGTTCTTTTTTTAGGGGGGGGAGAGAGGAGGGGAGGAAAAGCTCGTCTTGGGGCTTGAACTCAGGACCTGGGCACTGTTTCAGAGCTTTTTAGCTCAATGCTAGTGCTCTACTACTTGAGCCACAGGGCCACATTCAGCTTTTTGGTGGTTAGTTGGGCTGGCTTTCGTATTGTGATCCTCACGTCTTAGCTTCTGAGTAGCTAGGATTACAGGTGTGACAGTGGCAAGGAAAGGTTCTTTATAACTATGTTTTAGGTTGGGACAGTTGGCCTTTTTTAGCTGGATTGGCTGTCACTAATATGGATGACTTAGTTTCTCTTAGCTCCTAAAATGTACAATTCCAGGGAATTTCAACAAATTTCGGAAAACAGACAAGAATAGAAATTAGATGTTTGTTATGTTTAAGACAGATAATTTGAATTAAATATAATAAATTCATCATGTGTGGGTTATTGTCAACAGGTAAAACATTTTTGTAAACAAATTCATTGTATTTTCACATGTCTGTTTTGTAGGTAATTAACAATGCATGTGCTACCCAAGCTATCGTGAGTGTGTTACTGAACTGTACTCATCAAGATGTCCATTTAGGAGAGACGTTATCAGAGTTTAAGGAATTTTCACAAAGTTTTGATGCAGCCGTGAGTATGGTCTTTTCTTGATCCTAAAGTGACCTGTGATAGGTCTTGTTTTAATAGACTACTTTTAAAATTGTTTTAGATGAAAGGATTGGCATTGAGCAATTCAGATGTGATTCGACAAGTGCACAACAGTTTTGCCAGGTAAAGACCCCATATTAAATATGTACTCCCCCCCTCGTATTAAATATGTGTTCCTCTCTACCACCTTGTTAAATATGTGCTCCTCTCCCTGCTCCCCCCCATTAAATATGTGTTCCTCTCTCCCCCTGTGTTAAATATGTGCTCCTCTCTCACCCCGTGTTAAATATGTACTCTTCTCTTTGTTCTGTTTTACCTAATTCTTTTCTGATGCTTTATCTCTCTGGTTTCTTTACTATAGACAGCAAATGTTTGAATTTGATGCAAAGACATCAGCCAAAGAAGAAGATGCTTTTCACTTTGTCAGTTATGTTCCTGTTAATGGAAGACTGTATGAATTAGATGGATTAAGAGAAGGACCAATTGATTTAGGTAATCTGGTTGTTGCTACTGAGTATTAACTATTATTTTAGCTACAGTGTTGCTAAAATTTTAGAGGTGAAAGTTATTATGGGTAGTATAATAGGATGGTCTTAAGCTGCTTACAAAATTAAATAATATATATAGGAAGGACATGTACACACCTACAAATTGATTGAGGCCTTTAATTTTCACCTGTTTTTAACCCATAGATCATGTAATACATATTTTCTAGTTAACTTAAAAAACTGTTCTTAGTGGACTTCAGTGCACTTGAACTTATTGACCTTTAACTTATTGATAAGAAATAGTAAGCATTTCTTTTTTTTTTTGGTTGGTCATGGGGCTTGAAGTCTGAGCCTGGGCACTGTCCTTCAGCTCAAGGCAAGCACTCTACCACTTTGAGCCACAGTTCTACTTCTGGATTTTTGAGTGGTTAATTGCATATAAGAGTCTCATGGGGGACTTTCCTGCCTTGGCTGGCTTCTAACAATGATGTTCAGATCTCAGCCTTCTGAGTAGCTAGGATTACAAGTGTGAGCCACTCACTGGTGTCCAGCTTCTTATCGTTTTTTACCATTCCCTTGCATTAGATATTTTCATCCTGGGGCTGGGAAGGTGGCTCAGTGGTAGAGTGCTTGCCTGTCACGGATGAGGCCCTGGGTTCGATTCCTCAGCACCACAAAAGCAGAGAAAGCCAGAAGTGGCCCTGTGGCTCAAGTGGTAGAGTGCTTACCTTGAGCTGAAGAGCTGAGGGAAAGCACCCATGTACAGAGTTCAAGCTCATGACCACCAAAAAAAAAATTTTTTTTTCATCCCTTGTCTATCAGTTTACTAAATATTTTTGATCAAAATTTTTATTTTAGCATATTAATGTGCTGTCTTTTGTACCAAGATAAGAATAGATTTCTCATGAACACACTCCATCTTTAACCTTGAGCAAAAATAATAAATGCTTTTTGTGGGTGGGGTTGCAGTCTGTGATTCTGAAACACTACTGAATAAAACCACTGAACAATTTGCATGTGCCAGGGATCAAGCTGAGGGTTGCATGTATAAGTGTTGCACTGCTGCACAATACTCCCTACTCCTGCCAGAGGATTTTGAAATTTCTTGATCTTTAAAAAAAAATTAGATTTAATCCAAGAAAATGTGTTTTCATTGAATCTCATGTTAAATACTTTGTACTTTTGAGCCAGTGGCTCACTCCTATAATCCTAGCTACTCAAAAATCTGAGATCTGAGGATTGCAGTTCAAAGCCTGCTCAAGCAGGAACGTCTGTAAGATTTTTGTCTCCAATAAACTACTCAGAAAAAGCTGGAAGTGGTGCTTTGGCTCAGAGTGGTGGAGTGCTAGCCTTGAGCACAAAGAGGCTCAGCAACTGCACCCAGGCCCTAACAAGTAAGTTCATGAGATCTGGGTTCTTTCAGCCCTTGAAAACAACAACAAAATGCTGTTCCTGGGGCCTAGGTACTTTTTTGAGTTTATTTATTTATTTTTTGCTCGCTCAAGGCCGGTGCTCTCCCACTAGAGCCACAGCTCCACTTCTGGCTTTTTTGGTAATTAGAGATAGGAAAATCTCTCAGACATTCTAAGTTTCAAACTAATCTTAAGCTCTCAGCCTCCTGAGTAGTTAGCATTTAATGGCTTGAGTTATCAGCACCTCTTGTTTGTACATTTAAAATAAAATCCTGCCTGCAGAATCCATTGTCTTGTGCAGATTTGTGTGCTATTTGCTTAAAATATTTATCTTTGTGTCTAAGACTCTTCTTTATTATTATTATTATTATTTTGGTCAGTGGTGGAGCCAGCTTGAACTCTAGGCTTGGGCGCTGTCCCTGTACCCTTCAGCTCAAGGCAAGCCCTCTACTGCTTGAACCACAGTGCCACTTCTGGTTTTCTAGTGGTTTATTGGAGATAAGCGTCTCATGGACTTTGGACTTTCCTGCTGGCTTTGAACTGATCCTCAGATCTCAGTCTCCTGAGTAGCTACAATTACAGGCACGAGCCACCGGTGCACCGCTGCCATCTATTTTTATGTGTCTGAAAATAAGTAGACTGTTTCCTTAATTTTGTTACAGTTACATTGGTCTGATTTCTGCATGTTTTCTGCTGACTTCTTTCTGGTTAGCCATTCTTACTTCATTAGAATCATAAAACATGGAAGAAGTGAAAAAACAGCAGCCAGTTTACTGCAACTGTGCTATGATTTCTTGCAAAAAAAAGTTAAGACATTTGAGTAGAATTGGTCTTACATTCTGGGTGGATTCTCCCTATCTCAAATAAGAAGTTGCTTTCAGTATCTGCCTCTTTCACTCATGGATGTGGCTCTGCTTCCTGAGCCATGCCTCTAACCTCATCTTTTTCATTTTTCTTCTTTATAAAAAAAAAACAGGATTGTGGAAAGGCAGATATAAGAAATTTATTTTCTTTCTATTAATTACTGCTTTTTTTTCCAAGCCTTAAGTCTTACCATTTGTAAAAGGAAGGTCTGTAACAGAGTTGAGGGTTTAAATGAGAGAAGTTTCTCTTAAATATTCGTTTTGTGTCACGATAACATGACAATGCAAGTTATGATAATACTCTTTCCTGACTGTTGAAGGCATGGTGACTCAGGCTTGCAATCTCAGCACCTGGGAGCTGTGAGGCCGGCCTGGGAGACTCACAGGACCCTCTCTGAAAATGAAAAGGGAAAGAAAAGACTTAGTATGTCTTAAATTTGCTAAAGTATTTATAAAGCATGTTTTAGATGAAACTTTTGAGAGAGTGTTAATACTGCTTTTTGCTAATTTTGTTTTAACATTGTTTTTACATTTTTTTCTAGGTGCATGTAATCAAGATGACTGGATTAGCGCAGTAAGGCCCGTCATAGAAAAAAGAATACAAAAGTAAATGATCTAATACTACTGGCATAACATTCTTTTTAAGTTTGTTTTTGTTTTCACTTGATTCTTTAACAGTGTGTTTGATCATGTACTTGATTTGACTAATTCATTTAGGAAATCTATTCAAGAAAACCACTAATTCACTTAGAAATGTTTCATCTTGCTGGGCATGGTGATATATACTATAATGTCAACATTCAGGAGGCTGAGGATATCAAATTGGAGAATGTTCTGAGGGATTGTGAACCTGAGACCAGTCTGGGTTATATACAGGAGATGTGGTGGACACTTTTCTGCTCAGGCCACCTTCAAGTAATGATCTTCCAGGTCTTAGCCTTGTGAGTTGCTAGGATTATAAGTCACTGCTGTTTCCTTGTTGGTTGGCTGGTGGTTGGATTCCCATAAAAGTTTTTATGTTCAAGTCTGGTAAGTTTTGAAGGTGTTTTTGTTTTTTAGTCTGTCATGGGGCTTGAACTCTGGGCCTGGGCGCTATCCCTCAGCTCTTCAGCTCAAGGCTAGCGCTCTACCACTTGAGCCACAGCGCCTCTTCCAGCTTTTTTCTTTTTGCTTATGTGGTGCTGAGGAATTGAACCCAGGGCCTCATGCATGCAAGGCAAACGCTCTACCACTGAGCCACCTTCCCAGCCCTAAAAATCCTATCTTTATGTGCAGTAGTTTTTAGTGTTTTTTTTTTTTTTTGAGGATTCTCAAGCTTATCAGAGTCAGAGTAATGAGTATAGCCTTCTTTCACTGTTAAAACACAATTGTGTTTGTGATTTCTCTGTATTTTATGAGAACATCAAATAATACAGTTTTTGCTTCAGTCATGAAACAGTTTTGGAAACACAAAGAGGACACATACTGTTACTTATCTATACTTTCACTCTTTCCTTGTGTTCCAGAACTTTTCTTTTGATAATTTTTTCTTTCTGTTTAGAAGCCTCTGTTAAGTATGATTTAGCACAGGTCCTCCGGGAACAGAGTTCTTATTTTTCTTCATCTGCAGACCCTGAGTCCTCCTTTCCTCCTGAAAGGTATTTTCAGGGGATGTGGAGTCAAGCTAGACAGTCTTTCTTGCAACACAGGAAGAAAGTTCTCCTTCCTTCTGTCGTCATTTCTGAAAATAAGCTCCTGTCTTCTTCCTGTACATGTGATGGCTCATGCTGTTGTAAGAGCTTTTTTGTTTTAAATACCTGTCCTGGGTGCTGTCCTGGAGCTTTTGTGCCTAAGGCTGGCACTCTACCACTTAAGTCACAGCTCCCCTTTTGGCTTTTTGCTTATTGATTGAAGATAAGAGTCTCGTGGACTTTTCTAAAAAGCCTGGCTGCCTTTGAACCTAGTTCTTCAAACCTCAGTCTCCAGAGTAGCTAGCTAGGATTATAGCCGTGAGCCATTCGCACTCAGCAAGAATTTTTCATCTTTAGTTTTCGAAAGTTTGACTATGATATTTATCAAAATGAACTCCAAGAAATAGAAATGAGATTTTTTTTCTTTATATCTAGAAAAAAAAAGTTTGACTGTGATGTTTCTTACTGAGAATTTGTTTACATTCCTTCTGTTTGGATCCTGCTGACCTTCTTAAACCCCTAGAGTGCTTTATCCCATGAAATTTGTCAAGTTTTCAGTCACTATATTGTTTTGTTTGTGCCAACACTAGGACTTGAGCTCAGGGCCCGAGTACTATCTCAGGGCCAGTGCTCAGCCACTTGGGCCAATACCTCCACTTCTAGCAATTTGCTGGTTAATTGGAGATAAGAGTGCCAGAGACTTTCCTGACCTGTTTGGCTTTAAATGTTGATCCTCAGATCTCCTTAGTAGCTAGGATTACAGATGTGAACCACCATTGCTTGATTTGGAATATATTTGTGTGTGTGTGTGTGTGTGTGTGTGTGTGCGCACACGTGCGTGCTTGTGCTGTGTGCGTGCGCACACGTGCGTGCTTGTGCTGTGTGCATGCCATGCACATGTGCGTATGCATGTGTATGTGTGCATTGCTGGTTCTTGAACTTGATTTCAGGGCCTGGACACTTTACCTGCCCTTTCTATACTCACAGCTCTAGTACTCCGTCACTTGAGCAACAGCTCTACTTCTGCTTTGGTGGTTGTTTGGTGATATGAGTGTTGTGAACTTGTCTGCCTGGCTGGCTTTGCACTGCATCCTCACATCTCCGTTTCCTAAGTAGCTAGGATTACAGCTGTGCCATACCAGTCATACCAGTGCCCTGCTGGAATACTTTTTTTTTTTTTTTGGCTGGTCCGGGGTTTGAAATCTGGGCCTGGGCTCTGTCACTGAGCTTCTTTTTGCTCAAGGCTAGTGCTCTACCACTTGATCCACAGCACTGCTTCTGCCTTTTTCTGAGTAGTTTATTGGAGATAAGAGTCTCGTGAACTTTCCTGCCCAGGTTGGCTTTGAACTGTGATCCTCAGATCTCAGCCTCCTGTAGCTAGCTAGGATTACAGGCATGAGCCACCAGTGCCCAGCTGTAATACATGTTTAACTTTACCCTTTTTGTCTGTTGGACTCCAGGGACTCAGATTTTTACACACACACACACACACACACACACACACACACACACACACACACACACA